CAGAGCCATTTCTTAGAGATTAGGTTTTCTATTACGAAATTAGGGTTTCATAAATGGGACTTCGAAACTGTGATTCCTTCTACTCTCCAAGGTTCTAGAGAGTCAAATCTTGGTTAAGTTCTAAAGGATATAGGCGGAAACCAGTAATCGCCTTAAAAACTGTCTGGCAGTAATTGGCAAATTCTAGTGTAACAACGCTACGTACCTTCTTAGATTCTTTGTTGTTTTCTTTATTTCATTATATTATATGAGTACACATGTATGGAGATCTCCCAATATGATGGGAAGATCGATTTTGGGAGTTGGAAGAAGATAGCATTGCTTCTCACAATAGGTTGCCATCGCACTAGAAGAGGACTCGAAAAATGGCCGAGGAGTGAAAAGAAAGAGATCAATGAGGAGGCATACAACTGATAATCAGAATCTGTCCGCAGCATCCTTCGGAAGGTGATGGAATTGAATCACCGATTGAACTCTAGGGTAAACTCACTACCCGTATGCTTTGCAATCTGGCCCCAACCTAGCTTTTAAAGGGGGTTTTATTCTCTTATAAAATGGATAGTGCCAAGAGCATAGATGAAAACCTGGACGAGTTTCTGAAAATGACCTTGGTCCTAAAAGGACAGATCAAGCTTTAGGAGAAACCAGCCTAGCCATGATTCTATGAATTCCGACTGATGACTACCAGTATCAAGATGCCCACAGTACCTCGGTACTGAACCAATCTGACCTAAACAGCAGGACGGGGCTAGAGAATTAGAATTGAAAACCCAGAAACGGAATGCACACAAATCTGTTTGTTAAGAGTAGACCAGAACCTAGTCAAACAGCAAGGAAAATAAATCAGGTGCTAGAAATAAAAAAATGGAAGGGCAGTAACAAGCATAGAGGAGAGTCCAAAAAATGTTTCTTTTGTAATAAACTGGGCATATAAAAAGAATTGTTTGAGTGATAAAGCAAAAACAAGGAATACTGGAAATAACCTAGCCACTACTGGAAACCTGGTAGAGGAACCTAAGTATTACTATGTCAATGAATGACACGGGTAAGAGTGGGTGCTGGACTCAAGCGTGTTCCTTTTACATGAGTCCTAGAAGAGACTGGTTCAGAATTTGAAAATGTTGAAAATGAACTGTTTACATGGGAAACGATAATGCATGCAGAGTAAGGGGGATAGGCACAGTGACTCTAAGGGTTAACACTGGAAAAGTGGTAAAACTAACTAGGGTTAGATACATACCAGAACTTAAAAGAAATTTGATATCCCTTGGCACCTTAGATGAAATCGGATGTTGTTAAAAAGCAACATGGATGCTTGAACATATAGAGATAACAACTTGATACTGAAAGGAGAGAAAAGAAATGGCCTTTATATCTTTGTGGGAATCGTTCCCAAAACTGCTTTAATTCTGTGACGCTTCTACTAACTTGTCCAATACAGAAAAGTGGCATCTTAGATTAGGCCACATGAGTCAAAGAGGCATGGACATTCTGAGAATAAGGCAGTTTGGCAAGGACAACCCAATCCCTTGAATTCTGTGAGAATTGTGTTTTAGGGAAACAGCATAGAAATAGTTTCACCAAAGGGACACACCTAGCCACTAGACCACTAGAATACATACACTCTGACCTTTGAGGACCTGGAAAAATGAAATCTTATGGAGGGAATAGCTACTTTATGTCTCTGGTGGATGACTACAGCCGCAAGGTGTGGGTGTACTTATTGAAATCCAAAGATCAGGCTCTAGGTAGGTTTAAGGACTGGAAAACCTTAGTAGAGAACCAAATGGGAAAAAGGGTGAAGGTTCTTAGAACAGACAATGGGCTGGAATTCTGTAATCAAGAATTTGACAAGTTTTGTTGTGACCAAACATGGGACAGTAACCTATACCCCACAACAGAATGGAGTGGCAGAACGAATGAATAGAACCCTCCTTGATAAGGTTAGGTGCCTGTTAATAACCTCCAAACTCCCCGCCTCTTTTTGGGGAGAAGCTCTTATAACAGCAGCATATCTGGTAAATAGAAGCCCATCTACTGCAATAAACTTAAAAAGCCCTGAGGAAATATGGACTGGTAGAGTCCCAGCTTTAAGGCACTTGAGAGTTTTTTGGTGTGTAGCTTATGCACACACCACAGGAGGAAAATTGGAACCAAGGTCAACCAAGTGCATATTGCTGGGGTATCAAGAACAGACCAAAAGTTATAGACTCCGGGATAGAGATACTCCAGGGGTTAAAATTATTGTGAGCAGAGATGTGATATTCAATGAGGGAGTATTTCCTTGTAAGGAAACTAGAACCAAAACTGACCCCATGTCAAGTACAAATGATCCCTTCACCCAACCTGAAGTTACACCAATTGAGGTGGAGTTTCCTGCCCAAACTCAAACCAACCAAGAAACTGAAGCTGTTATTGAACATGGAGGAGAAACTGGACAAACTGATCCAGAACATGAGGATGAGATAGAAAATGAAGATGACACTGAGATCCAACCTGAACACTTGCAAGACTACCAGCTTGCAAGAGACAGAACCAAAAGACAGGTAAGGGCACCTATGCGATATTCCTATGTTGATCTAATATACACTGCCCTCCTTGCAGGTACTGATGTACAAAGAAGAGAACCAGAAACTTATGAGGAAGCCATGCAGACAAAAGAAAATGAGCAATAGAAGGCTGTTATAGAAGCTGAAATGAAGTCCTTGGAGGTGAACAGAACTTGGAAACTTGTACCAAAGCCTAAGGATCAGAAACTTGTACAATGCAAGTGGCTGTTCAAACTAAAGAAATGTATCACTGATAAGGATCCCCTCAGGTATAAGGCTAGACTTGTAGCCAACGGTTTCACCCAAAGAGAGGGAATAGACTTCAATAAAGTTTTTTTCCCCAGTAGTTAAGTACAAAACCATAAGGCTTATGCTGTCCATAGTAGCTCACCGGGATCTAGAGCTTGAACAATTAGATGTCACAACTGCATTTCTACATCGAGATCTTGAGAAAGAGATCTACATGAGCCAACCCTTAGGTTTCATAGATAAAAGGGCCCCCAATCATGTCTGCCTACTGCTGAAATCCTTATATGGCCTAAAGCAATTTCCTAGGCAATGGTATAAGAGGTTTGACACCTTTATAGTAAGTATAGGACTCACTAGGAGTGAGTATGACAGTTGTTTCTAATTTGCTATTTTAGATGAAATACCTATTTACTTATTGCTGTATGTAGATGATATGTTACTAATAAGCAAATCAAAGCCTATGATCTGTGAGTTAAAGAATAAACTGAATGCTGAATTTGAAATGAAAGACCTAGGGGATGCTAGGAAGATTTTAGGCATGCAAATTGATAGAAACAGAAGTAAATGCAAACTGAAAATTCACCAATGTTCATACCTGCATAAGTTAGTAGAGAAATTTGGAATGTCAGGGTCCAAAACTGTCCAAATGCCTTTAGCAAACCACTTCACATTAAGCAAGGATCAATGCCCTAATACTGATGCTGAGTTAATTAGAATGGAGACCATACCCTATGCTAATGTGATTGGATCCTTGATGTATGCTATGATTAGCACTAGGCCTGACCTATCATTTGTGATATCATTGCTGAGTAGATTCATGTCCAATCCTGGTATGGAACATTGGACAGCCCTGAAGTGGTACTAAAATATGTTAGTGGATCTTTAAATGTGGGACTGGAATACTATAAAAGATCTGCCTCACTGGAGCTGGATGGTTTTGTAGACTCTGATTTTGCATGTGACAGGGACACTAGGAAGTCAACCACTGCATATTACTTTACCTTGGGGGGCAACTGCATCAGCTGGAAGTCCCAATTACAGCCTATAGTTGCACTATCAACAACCGAGACTAAATATGCGACTGTAGCTGATGTATTTAAAGAGGCAATATGGCTCAAAGGGATCCTGAGTGAAGCAAACCTGTCTGAACTGAAGCCAACCATTTTTTCAGATAGTCAAAGTGCAATACATCTGAGTAAGAATCCAATGTACCATAAGCGAATCAAACACATAGATGTTCGCTATCACTTTGTGAGAGATCTGATCACTAGGGAGGAGATAGCTTAATAAGGTTCCTACTTAGCACAATCCAGCAGACATGGGTACGAAGATTGTTACAATTGCTAAGTTCAAGCATTGCTTGAACCTACTGTCCATTCAGTAAGCAAGAGTAACAAGAGAACTATGAAAGACTCACTAAAGGCAAGTTGCACTAGCACAGGGGCTGTTTTTCCACCCATCAAGGTGGAGATTGTTGGATGATGGCTTGAAACGCTGTAGTATTAGCACTTAAATGGAACGACGTCGTTTTGATCCAAACTAAAGAAACAATCCTGAACGTTGATGAAAAGAAGATCTAACGGTTGGAATTTAACCCTAATGTCAACCATATAAAAGCAGAGTTATTTGGCAGTTTACGCATTCATTCATTTTTGGCAAATCTCTCTCTTCTTCGTTAAACACCATTTTGAGTCTTTAAGGTTTTTCAATTTGGGTTGAATGAATCTTGTAACTTGTTGATTGAGTGACTGAGTCAGGTCATTCTGGGTGTATTGTATACGCTGTTTATAGAGATTCGAAGGGTGTAATCTCTAGGGTGAGTTACGAGTTGAAGAAGGGGTTTTTGAGGGATTTGTGTTGCTGTGTGTAATCTGTAATCTTGACAGTGATTTAGTGCAGCGAGCTCGTGTGATTCCAGAGTTCAACGTGGACGTAGCTTATTCAAATATAGAGCAAATGAACCACAGTAAATCTAGTTGTTCTTGCATGTGTTTTATTGTGATTCTTGTTCTTGATCTATTGTTATTTGGTTGATTCTTTCTGTGAGTGATTATAACAGTTATAAATTTTAATGTGAGCCTTCGGAATGTTAAGACTTAACATTTTCTAAGAACATTGAGGTGGTGTTGAATAAATAGATCAAAGTCTGTGCCTGACAATTTTTTTTAGAACTTTCTTGGCGCAAAATCCAATGCATTAAGCTAACCAGTCAGCGACAAGCACGTGTTTTCGTAAAAGTAAAACCCAAACCAAAACCCCACTCACAACGAAGCTGGTAGAAAGAAAGAGCGATTCAGTGCGAAAGTGAAAGCTATCGATGGCGTCAGGCGGCAACGGCGGAGGTCTGGAGTGGCACGTGCGGCCTCCAAACCCTAAGAATCCAATCGTCTTCTTCGATATTACCATCGGTACAATTCCTGCCGCTTGTATCAAAATGGAACTCTTCACCGACATCGCCCCTAAAACCGCCGAAAATTTCAGGTCGCTTCACTTTTCTTCCTTTCTCATCCTAAATTTTCTTGTGCATATATCAATTTCAACAACACTTGTTCAAGTTCGCTTCTTTTTTCTTCTTTGGCAGGCAGTTGTGCACCGGTGAGTTCAGGTATCTGGCTATTGCGCTCATTACATAAAACAAGTTCTCATACCCTGTAATGTTACCGTTTATGATTATGAGGTCATCGTTGCTGTTAGTGATGTCTACTAAGTTTTTTTTTTTTATTTCCTTTCTTTTTAGAATAAATTTGTGTTGTTATCTTAATCTTTGTTGCTGTGGTGATATGTGCTAGTTGGCTTATTAATTTCACTTTGGGAGCTAAATTGTAAAGTTCAAGAAATGAAGGGGCCAAAGTGGGGAAATGAATTTTAAGTGATGGAATTGTGCTTATATATAAATTCTGGCTGGTGACCCCAGGCCTGTGAATAGCTCTATGTTAGATTGTATGGATAGTAGTTGGTGAATTAGATTGTATGTGATAGTAGTTGGTGAATGCTATTGTATGGTATCATAAAAGACTACTATTTGAGTGAATGTTAACTCGTTATCTACTATCTGTTGGTATATGCTATTTTATGTGGTATCATATATGACTACTTTTTTGATTGAGTAATCACTTCTTGTCTATTCATCTGTTGGTTTGAAAGAACACAAAAGCAGGATTGCCTGTTGGTTACAAGGGATGCCAGTTCCATAGAGTGATAAAGGATTTTATGATTCAAGCGGGTGATTTTGTCAAGGTTTGTTCCTTCAACTCCTGCATTTAAGCTTGTTTATGTTTTTATCATTTTAGTTACTCTATGATTGATGCTAATCCATGAATAAAAGTGTCAGATTCTTATTTTAATTTAAGAGTGTTTCGGTTCATGTTTCTTCCCTTAGTATACTGGACGATGCATATCCTGGTGATTGGAAGGACATTTCACGTTTTCTTTTTCTTTGAAGTGAAGTTAAATTTTGACATAGCAATTTGAAAAAGGAAAATGGAGTGAATTTGTGACTGCATTTCTCTTGTGCTATGTTCGTGTGGCCCTTAGTAGAATTAACCCTCTAATGCTAAAATTTAACAGCTTAAAACTCTCATATAACTTGAAAAACCAACTTTTTAAGCAATATTTATTTAATAACTATAATATACAAAAATTAATAGTTACTCTGGGTTTTCTGGTCCACTGGCTCATTTTTTTCCTTCCATTCATATTACTTATTCTAACCTTTTGATTTGTAAATTCTCTTTAAATTTCCTTCACAAATTTTTGGAAATTTTAATTTACAATTGTTATTAAGAAACATAAGAACTTGATATTTCTTTTAGTTATATCCTTTTGTACAATTATTTTTTTGTTTAGAGGGTTTACTGTGGCTTTTTCACTGTTCTTACTGAATGATTACAGCCAAAAAACAATTAGAGAGACTTCTAAATAGAGGGTTGCGATAGTCTGACAGGTCTACCTGAAGGGATGCAATTAAAATACTTGACTATAAACGACTGTGACCAATTGGTAGAAAGATACAGAAACAACATGAGTATTGTCTGCTCATATTCCAAATAGGCGGATTTAAAGTACAAAAAGATTAAAGAATCAATTTCGAATAACCATAGACTAGTTGCATCGAGAAGAACCGCCTTGATTGTTTCGACTGTGTCTTTGCGCTTTCTGATCTCGTCTCTAACTCCACTGGCCAGATCGATTTGTTGAAAAACTTGGGATCCCAACACTTCCAAGAGCTTCCAGGCGGCATCGAACACTACTCCTTCCGCCATTTCTCTTTCGTTGCAGCTGGCAATGCTAATGAAATTATTTGTCAGGTCCGATTGGTGAATGAAGAGTGAAGACTCTGAAAGAGTATTATTGAAACGTTGAAGACGAACTTGTTGAACTTGAAGCCGTCACTTGAATCGAAAGGTCCCTAAATTGTAATCATGTTTTTTTAGTCCACTAATATTTTATTTGTGAAAACAGTGATTTAAGAAAACATAATCAAAATAAGATTTAAAATTTGTTTAAGAGAGACAAAGTGAGATTATTCTGATTCTTTTATAAATTTTCTTGTTATACAATGGTCAAAAGGTTTTTTCAATTTCTTTCATTTGAGGAAAATCCGGGATAGGCGGCCCTCCTAGAGAGAGCGGTGTGCATGAACCAGGTGTGTGGGGATGCAGCTCCGTGGACCCCTCGTGGGGCCTGATGGCTGATAGGTGGTGGTATCACACCCTTCTCAAAGGAGCCGTACATAATACTCTCGCGTCGCGTCAGATGGCTCCGTCTCGAAATTGGCTTAGTGTTCTCATAAAGCTGTAAGGATTCGTGTTATTAAGTGAATATTGTATTATTGGAGATGTTATATAGATTATTTTAAAGTTTATTGAGAATGTTTAAGAAAATATATTTGATTGATTGGAATAAATTGGTTGATATGTTATATTAATATGTTTTGTTGAAATGAATAAATTATATAAATTATTAAATTGTTTCCTTTTTTAATATTAATATAATAAAATTTTTTTGAATATTTTTTTAATCTCTTATATTTAAAATTTTGTTAAAACACCCTAGTTATATAAAACTTTAATTTGTAACAAAATTAATCTCACTCACCCCAAGCCACTGTCGACAGTCAGCCACCGCTGCAGGCCGCCATCGAAAGTCACCAGAATTGTATACGATCGGTCGGATCTGGCTTGTTGTGCACCGATAAGGCCTTTTCTAGCCAGATCTGGTCATTTCTGGCCAAATCCAACCGATCTTGCATCATTCCGTCGCCAGTCAATGACCACCGGTGGTCGTGGTTGGCTGCTGGTAGTGGTGGCCAGATCCGACCACCACCCTTATGTAATTTTTTTAAAGTCCAGGAGTATTTATGTCCTAAAAAATTTGTATATAAGGATAAAATAGTACATAAATATATTTGTAAATTAATTTCAAAATAAGGGTATTTTTGTCCAAAATTTGTATTAATAAGGGGTAAAGCTTTAACAAAATAATATTACCAAGTTCTCTCTCCTATTAAGTCTCTTTAATTTTTCACATATAGAGAGTTTATTGGATTTGAATAAAAAATTTGTTATTTATATTTAGAAATTAACGAAGATACTCTTTATTTATATGAAAGATGCTCTTTATAGTTCTACACGTGGGTTTTTGAGTTTGTCAAATAAAATTTATCTACAAACACATTTTACGCAAATTTCAATGTCAATGAAAATGACAATGAAAAGTTTTAATTGAGTGAAAAAAAAAAAAACAACAACAACAACAACAAATAACCTTATTTAACACATGCAAATATTAAGCTAACACATTTTACATGTGCAAATATTCGTTACATACATGGTTACTAAAGAAAATGAATTAACATTAAATTTGAAGTAATACAAGCCTTACTCACTTCTTTTACTCATCTTTATTAAAATGTTAGTCTTATCCACTTTTTGAATAAAGGTGAGTAAGAGAAGTGAGTAAGGCTAACATTATTCTTAAATTTGAGATTGATTTTTGAACAATTCAATTTTTAGTAGTCATGTTAACGCGTGACAGAGATCATTAACACACAAAAAACCTGTCATTTCAATACATTAAAAAAAGTGTGTTTATAAATTAAGTGTGTCAAATATATTGTTCGTTAATGGTTTTAACTTTTAATGTGTGCCTTAGGAATGTTAAGACAACATTTTTTAAGCACACTGAGGTGGTGTTTGAATAAATAGATCAAAGTCTGTATCTGTAAAATAATTTGAAAATACAGGGGCGATTGTGAAATTCACTTTCTTACCAAAAAATCCAATACATTAAGCTAACCTATCAGCGACAAGCACGTGTTTCCTAAAGGCAAAACCCAAACCCAAGCCCAAACCCCACTCACAACGAAGCTGGTGGAAAGAAAGAGCGACTCAGTGCGAAAGTGAAAGCTATCGATGGCGTCAGGCGGCAACGGCGGAGGTGTGGAGTGGCACGTGCGGCCTCCAAACCCTAAGAATCCAATCGTCTTCTTCGATATTACCATCGGTACAATTCCTGCCGGTCGTATCAAAATGGAACTATTCGCTGACATCGCTCCTAAAACCGCCGAAAATTTCAGGTCACTTCACTTTTCTTCTTTTGTTATCCTAAATTTTGTTCTGCATATATCAATTTCAACAACACTTGTTCAAGTTCGCTTCTTTTTTCTTCTTTGGCAGGCAATTGTGCACCGGTGAGTTCAGGTATCTGGCTATTGCGCTCTCTAGTTGCCTCATTACATAACACAAGTTCTCATATACTGTAATGTTACCGTTTATGATTATGAGGTCATCGTTGCTGTTAGTGATGTCGACTAAGTTTTTTTTTTTTTTTTTTTTTTTTTTTTTCCTTAAATTCGTGTTGTTTTCTTAATCTTTGTTGCTATGGTGATATGTGCTAGCTGGTTTATTAATTTCACTTTGGGAGCTAAACTGTAAAGCTCAAGAAATGGAGGGACCAAAGTGTGAGAATGAATTTTAATTGATGGAATTGTGCGCATATATAAATTCTGACTGGTGACCCCAGGCCTGTGAATTAGATTGTATGGATAGTAGTTGGTGAATTAGATTGTATGTGATAGTAGTTGGTCAATGCTATTATATTTGGCATCATAAAAGACAACTTTTTCAGTGAATATTCATTCGTTATCTACTATCTGTCGGTATATGCTATTATGTGGTATCATATATGACTACTGTTTTGATTGAGTAATCACTTCTTGTCTACTCATCTGTTGGTTTGAAAGAACAGAAAAGCAGGATTGCCTGTTGGTTACAAGGGATGCCAATTCCATAGAGTGATCAAGGATTTTATGATTCAGGCGGGTGATTTTGTCAAGGTTTGTTCCTTCAACTCCTGCATTTAAGCTTGTTTATGTTTTATCATTTTAGTTACTCTATGAATGATGTTAATCCATGAATAAAAGAGTCAGATTCTTAGTTTGATTTATGATTTTTTTCGGCTCTTGTTTCTTCCCTTAGTATACTGGAAGATCCATATCTCTTTTTCTTTGAAGTGAAGTAAAGGTTTGACATACCAATTTGAGAAAGGAAAATGGAGCGAATTTGTGACTGCATTTAAGAACTTGATATTTCTTTTAGTTATAACTTATAACCTTTTGTAAAAAAAATTTTTTGTTTAAAGGGTTTACTGTGGCTTATTCATTGTTCTTACTGAATGATTATAGCCAAAAAAAATTAGAGAGACTTCTAAATAGAAACGGAGAGCGGATGGGGGTTTTGGTAATTAATGAAAGGGTAAAGTGGAGAAACTTGTGCTGCTTTATTCAATCTATGAAAACTTTCATCTCTGATCCTATAATTGTTATGATAAGTTGTCCTGAACCTTGTATATATTGATATTTGGCTAAATTACCAATTAAACTTTGTTTTGCAGGGTGATGGTAGTGGATGTACTTCTATCTATGGACATAAATTTGAGGATGAGAATTTTATTGCCAAACACACTGGTCCTGGTTTATTATCGATGGTATATCTTGCCTTCTTTGTTCTGCTAGTGAAATGCTGCTCAAGTCCTACACTTTACCATTAATAATCATTGGGAAAGATAGAATGCAAACAATAAGTATGGAAACATCAGGGGTGATGCTTTCCTATTACCAAAACTCGGGTGCTCTTTCTGTAATTAGAGCAAAACTCTGAACAGTTGAATGAAACTTACGGTATTCCTTTAGTGAGAATTATTTAGGTGACCTTCCTTGAGGTTTAGTTAAAACTGCAAGTAAACCCTCATAGTCACAGTTTATAAGAAGTCTTCTCTTAGTTCTTGAAAATCATTATATACTTTCTTTAAAATTCATCTGTATCTGCTCTGACGTTTCTTAAATTTATTGAAAACTTACCCTGTTTCTGTCAATTTTCTAAGCAAAGGTATCTGGCTATAAGTAGGTCAAACCTTAAGGTTAATTAATGAAATTGAACTTATTTAAAATGAGGAATCATTCGGTGAAAAAATTTTCTTCTGAAGGAAGTATACAGTAAAAAAGATGTTAACTTTCTAACATGTAAGGTTTAATGTACCTATCCCCTTAGGATAATATCTGATGTTTGCATGTGAGAACTGAACAAGAAATTAGAGATGGTAGCTTCAAGCATATTGGTTTGGTTGGAATATCCCTTGTCAACCTCTTTGAATGCCTCAATTTGCATAGAGAACCTCATCTTTCTTCTGCTGAATTCGTTGTGAATATTTTGAGTTTAATGATGACATCCTACTTCCAGCTCTGAAAGTGTATTCCATGCTCGTGTTTCAGGCAAATAGTGGACCAAATACTAATGGGTGTCAGGTATTTGATCAACCTTCTTGCTCTCACTCCCTCCTTCCCCTTTCTTTTTTCATGCTCACGTGCACTTGTGCTTGCACATGGACTGCGGGCACACACAGACAAGTATGGCCGGATCAAATATGTTACAATTTGGTTGTACCAAGTCTCCAGATTTTAGGCTGTTAGTTACATGTTTCTGGTAGATTGCATTTTTATGTGACTGAGCAAACTGATATTGTGGTGGGCATGACAGAATAGCTCTGCAATATTTTTCTCTGTTCAAGTGTAGTTTACTTTGAATTATATTTGCAAAGTTGCATTTGATGTACCTTATTCCAGGCCAATGCAATACACCTTTTTCTCTTTCTGTTCTGTATGTGGATAGGCTCTTACCCAAAAAGTTTTAAGCATAAAATTTGTGTATGAATTTATTCTAATTTTTCTCCAAAACTTGAGAGTTAGATGGTTACTGGAAGGATATTTTGTAAAGATTTTTTCAAATTTCTTTTGTCTCATAATAATCTTAAAGCATTGATCATTGCTTTCTTTAATTGCAGTTCTTTATCACTTGTGCAAAATGTGACTGGCTCGACAATAAGCATGTTGTATTTGGGGTATGTTCTCAAATCTTTTTCTTTTTTAATGTCCTACAGATATTTGTTTTGTTTTATACATCACTCATCACTGTATCTAACATCTAACAGTTATTTATATATAACTTTTATGGTCTTTTTTATTTTATATGTTCTAGGGTTGGGCAACATATTTTATGTTGACAATGGAATTAATAGTTATTTTTAACTTGTTAGAGATCCAAATCCTCTTAACATCATCTACCTAGGATATTAAATCTCACGTATTACCGAATTAATAAAATTTTAGAATACAGCTGTAGTCTTTAGGTTCAAACCTGACGTACATTGACGGATTTTGGGGTAATTACATGTAGAAGCATGTAATAAGTTTGAAAAATTTACTATGTCTCACTTATACAAATTAATAGATGACTACCTTTTATAAGCTGATTCAGAAAACCGAACATAAACCTAGAAAGTAATGAAAACTTGCAAGAGCTGACCTCTCAAACCAAAAAGACCAAAGTGTTTCTTAGCTTGTGTTGTGTCGAATTGGATCATAGTTGTAACTTAAATTTTAAAATATGTATATGCTTGGTTCTTTCGACCTTTTATACAAATGGTGTAAATAGTTGCCTATTTTTGGCTGTGTTGAGTTGTTCAGCCATAGCCTTTGTCCGGATTGACAACCTAATTTACAGTCTTGTTCCGAATTCCCATTAGTAAATCTGCCCTTTTCTTTAGCCTTCCATTACATCTTGCCTTTAAAATGTTGATTTTGTTTGATAACTTTCATGCAGAGAGTGCTTGGAGACGGTCTTTTGGTCGTCAGGAAGATTGAGAATGTTGCTACCGGACCCAACAACCGTCCAAAACTGGCATGCATTATCGCAGAGTGTGGAGAAATGTAAAAGGTGAAATCAAGAAAATACTAATGAGGATCATCTAATAACATATACTTTGTAACTAGTATGAGCTGAGTTAGAATTAATTCTTGAAGTCCACTGATGACATCTGCTATAGTTGTTCTGCTTTTTTTAGCAAAACATATACATTATGAAGAAGTGAATTTTTTTTTTTTTTTTTTTATGACAACGGGATATCTAATCATATATTTTACTTTGTAAGTTGCTTGTGAATTTGGCATCTAATGCAAATTTATTTAGCTTACTTTGATTGCATAGATACACATAGAATTTTCTTCTTCTTTGAAACATATTTGGATATGATTTATTTCAAGTTGTTGAAGAAATATTAATATTATTGGTTTGTGAATTGTGAAGATGTATTTTTGGACCCTTTTTTTTTGTTTTTTAAAACATATTATTGTTTTAACATTTTTATCTTAGCAGACGTGTCAACCTATATTTTTAATTTGTCGCTTACATATTGCTTTGAACGTGTAATATTATTATAATTTTTACATAATTTTCTTTAACAGAGATTCATCAAAATGAGCAATTAGGGCACATAATAAAAGTATATGAAAAATCATTTTTTTAGTTTTTTTAATTATATTGAGAAATATAATCTTTTGGTAAATCAAATTTATCAGTGTAATCAAAATCTAAGAGCACACTTCTTTAATTATTAGCCAATCAATAGTAATTGCTCAATCAAGTAATAAGAAAATAAAAAATAAAATGGATAATTTTCAGTAAATCACATTTTATTTTATAAGATATGAATAAATGATTATTAGTTGACATTATAAGAAGAGTAATGTTTTAATTAAAATCTTTTCTTATAAACTTTATCTTACAATTTTAACATGACAGTTTGTAATTAATTAATCGCAATTTATTAGGTAAAATTCATTACGAACTAATCAATTGTACATTGTCATATCGAAATTATCCAATATTTTTCTTACAAGAATTGATAAGAAAATATCATTTTATCTAATTGAATTCCCTATCACTGTTCTATTATTATGGTTTTGAACATTAAAATTGTATAAAAAAATGGGGAACCTTTTTTAAGTTAATTAGTGACTTGAATTTTCGGTACTAATAATTTTTAAAACCAATAAAATTAAATGTCAATGAAATTATCAAATTACCTAGCCAACATCTCGCCCCAAACGACGCCGTTCTACTCGTGCTCCCCACACGACACTTGAAACTTTTCATTTTTCCATTTTGCCATCTCGTATCACAATAACAGCCTCTCTCAATCCAGAATCCAAAACACAGAGTGGGTCAATAACTCAGTGAGTTGAGTAGAGTTGAACTCGAAATGGCGTTCGCAGCCAGAGCAGTGAAGGTGCCACCAAACTCAGCGAGCCTGGAGGAAGCTCGTAGCCGCGTGTTTGACTTCTTCAGGACGGCGTGCAGATCAATACCTTCAATAATAGAAATCTATAATCTCGACGAAGTCGTTACCAAGTCGCAGCTCCGCTCCACCATAGCCTCTGAGATCCGCAAGAACGCGCACATCACAAACCCTAAGGTTTTTAATTATTTGAATTCTATTTGCTTTATTTTATTAAAATGTTATGGCTTGTAAATATTAGTGATATTCTTCTTAATTTAATTAGGAGTAAAATGAGAGAAAAGCAAAAAATAAAAATAAAATTGAAAACTTTATGCTTGTGTTGAGTTAAATTCGAATTAGGTAATTTTGTATTGAATCGATTGATTTGGAAACATAGGGTTCTTGTATAACATTAGTCAAGTGAGGTTTCTCAATTATTGGCTCTTTATTTTGGACTTCATGAAGGTTATTTTGTAGGCTCTTAGAAACAAGAGAATTTTCTTTTGGTTGTCTGTTTGTTTTTCGATTTCCATTCTCTACTTTACTTTTAAATGTGCAATACTTGTTCAGTTACCAGCTTCGTTTTCTATAAAAGAAAACATAAACAGTGAAAACATACAAATGGTGAAAAGACAATGATGTTTTCTGTGTTTTCATTCTCTACTTTTTACTGTGTTTCATATTTATCATAGAAATATAATAACAAATGTGTTTTCATCGTCAGATATTGTTTTGAAAAAAAATGATAATTTTACCTATAAAAAAAAATCAAACTTCTGATTTCCTTTTTTGAAAACACTCGAGCTTCCCAGTAATTACTTTCAGCAGGATGATTATTTTGACTTAAAGATAAAAGTTCTCCACTCCTGGAGAATTCTATATTTTGATTGGAGTAGCAGGGAGGTTTCGAATATAGTTTATTTCAATCATTATTTTCTTGGGGTTCTCGAGTTTGTAGCTTGTCAAGCTTTGTTTCATCCTGTTCATTCACAAGATTGCTATAGGTGTAAAGTAGATTTTGGTCTGATTTCCAGTTTTAGTATTAGTCTTGGTGTTGCAAATATCTGGATGCAGTTCCCTAATTTGCCTTCTAGGTGTCCTGATTTATCACGTTAGGCCTGGTGCAGCTGTTTATTTTGAATGCTTTGGAGAAAGCTTATGTTACCTGTGGAGAAATATTTTTCTTGTCTTTCATAATGAGATGTACAATGAATTTATAGCAAAAACAAAAAACTAATCTAGGAAGTAAATTGTTACATTCCTATTATAATTCTATTTCTTATTCCTATTATAATTCTATTTCTTATATTACAATGAGAATAATTCTATTTCCTATATTACAAAGAGAATAATTCTATTTCCTATTTTATATTTCAACACTCCCCCTCAAGCTCGAGCATATAAGTCATATGCACCAAGCTTGTTACAAATAAAGTCAACACGAGAACCTTTGAGAGACTTAGTGAGGATGTCTGCTAACTGGTCGTTGGAACTGACATAACTAGTTGCGATACACCCTGATAAAACTTCCTCTCGAACAAAGTGACAATCAATTTCTATGTGTTTAGTCCTCTCATGAAACACTGGATTTGAAGCAATATGAAGGGCAGCCTGATTATCACAGAGTAACTTCATTTGTGATACTTCGACAAATCTCAACTCTTGAATTAGTTGTTTTAACCAAACCAGCTCACAAGTGGCTAAGGCCATTGCACNTAGAGTTAGGGTTTTTTTTTTTCATTTGAAAAAGTGAACCGGTTTACCTGGCAGGCTGGTTGGACCAGGTGGGTGGCACTGTTCATTCGGTTCAATGGCGGGTTAACACGGTTTTTTTATTATAACCAGGTTTTATATTGGCTCGGACCGGACATGAGACCGGATCCCGGTTGAACCGGCCGGTCCGGTCCAGGTTTTAAAACAGAGGTGTAAAGTAGATTTTGGTCTGATTTCCAGTTTTAGTATTAGTCTTAGGGTTGCAAATATCTGGATGCAGTTCCCTAATTTGCCTTCTAGGTGTCCTGATTTATCACGTTAGGCCTGTTGCAGCTGTTTATTTTGAATGCTTTGGAGAAAGCTTATGTTACCTTTCAGGGTTATGGTGAAACTCAAATTGATTTTAATCCTTATCTTTTCATGTTAAACATTTTTCTCATTGTGGTCGACAGTTCAGTAATTTATGGTTTGGTGTTTTTCAGAGTATTAGTTAAATATTTAGGGTGTGTCTTGGTTATCATTCATGGAATCATGGTGATGGATTGGCTTTGTAATAGTAGATAAAGAATACTGTCTGATGGATCTCTTTGCTTTTTCTGATCGCAGTTCTGTCGTTGTTCATTTCCTAATTCATGTAGAACATAGTAGAGTCGAATCTCTTTGTGTGGCTTCTTCACATTATTGGCCATTGGAGAAACTGATAGTAAATACTCATTGCCATACCTTAATGTGTTTCATTCATAATATTTGATTTCAGCTACTAATATAGCAGTTGATACCTTGAGCTGATTTCTAAAATTGCTGATGTGATAATACTGGTGTGCCCTAGGCCATGCATCTAACTTGAAGGTACTTAACTAATATTAATAATGATAAAGGATGAATCTAACTTGAGAATATAGTACAAACCAGATGGGGAGCATTTTTTTTGGGAGCTAATTTCTTGAGGACTGCTATGAGGTATACAAAGATCCCCACTAAGAATAATGAACTTACATGCCCAGTTGCATAGATTGCTGAAATCACATGGCAATATCTTTGCTGCTCTAGTTCCTGTGATTTAGAAAGATCTTTTGCTTTAGTTCGGTGATTTGGAAGATTTTCTGCTGCTCTAGTTTTTCTTTCTTCTTTGTTATGTAGCCTGGAAGTTGAATCTGGCATGTCTGATTAGTAGTTTATTCTTTTTAGTCCTTCAAATTGCAACTATTTTGAGTTAGCAATGCCATAGCAGCCTGAATTCCTGAATAATGTATAAAAGCTTCCACAAAGAAAACACAAAATGTAAGAAAAGGAAAAAGGAACATAGTTTGTTGGTTTTGTTAGACTGACCACATCATGTACTTCTTAGTCTGGATATCCGAATCTTTATTAATACTTATAGAGAAGATTATTTGTTGGTAATGCACTTTCAATGATGCCATTTTTATGTTCTTGCAAGTTAAATTACCCATTTTCTCATCCTAGATATTATTCTGTTAAACTTCAAAAGGCATAGAATTGCTTGAAGAAAAAAGACCATGGTTGTATACTACTGTGATAGTTTACTTTAAATAAAATGAATATACTTGGCTGCAAAATAGTTTCTTCATCTTCCTGATCCTAGTAAATCTGCAGGTGATTGATATGCTTCTTTTCAAAGGAACAGAAGAGCTGAATAACATTTTGGAGCATGCTAAGCAGCGGCATCACATGATTGGTCAATATGTAGTGGGTCGTGAAGGGCTTGTGCATGATAGGGATCCTAAGGATGAGGGCATTTCCAGTTTTCTCAAGAACTTCTATAACAGCAATTACTTTTGAACCTTCATTGACCAACCCGCTTTTGGGTATAGACCTCCCAAATAATAACGAACTTAGCATTGTTTGTATATCTTCTTGTTGGATGGAATTCCTTTTATCTTTTTTTCCTATTTTGGGTCACAGTGTTGAAACCAGATGACTATATTTTATTTTGATGTAATACATTTTGTTATCATAAATCGAAGCACTGTTAATGCTGCTGCTTGTTGTTGTGTCACATTATTGTTTTGCACTTTCTGAGATTCAGATGAGCCATTGCTCTTGATGGATCAGAGGGTTGTTAAGTGTGCTACTAAAGTAAAGTCAGCCTGGGAAACATTTTCGTTGTTGTGGAAAGTATAGTTCAATATTTTGGCGGTGGAAATGAAGTGTAAGATATCAGAGGTGTATATATATATATATAAATTTCTTTCTGATTAAAAATGTCAAATTAAAACAGTCCTAATATAAATTAGTTGAAAGTTGAAACTCTTCAAACAGAGAAGGGAAGATAAATACATGCATAAATAGTCAAAATTAATTAGAAAAAGAAAAGATGTATACTAAAGCATATGTAAATATTATTAATAAACTAAACTAAGAAATAACATTATACTTGCATAAATATAAGATCAAATTTAAGCTTCTAAGTGGACAATTAAAAAAAAAAAAAAAAAAAATTCATGTACTAAATGATATACTTTTACACGACAAGGATAAATATTATAAAAATATTTTTTTATATATTCATTATTTTATTTTTTTTAATTGAATGTTCTCTTAGTTGTTTTTCAATCTTCATGAATATTTATTGCCAACAATTAGAATAAATTATTCTAAGGTTTCTTTTACTGTTGAAGACGAGAATATAATTAACTACCTTGGGTTAGTCTGAATGTAAAATAACAAAAAGAGATTTAATGAACTCTTTCCTCAGAATAATTTATTCTAATTTTTGGAAATAAATATTCATGAAGATTGAAAAAAAAAAAATGAGGATACAATTGATTCAAATTGAACAATTTTTTAAAATTAAGACAGTTTTGGAATAAAATGAGATTTTAAATTTTTTAAAGAGTACTTAGAATAAGAGCTATTAAAAGAAAAAAGTGAATATATATATAATCCTTGTTCAGCTCTGTTAATGAATTTGTAATGATAAAACATGCATTTATATTATAGTTAATAAAAATCCAATTCATCAATTTTTAAATAGTGAGTGTACTTAGTCGAAGTATGAAGAGTATATTTAGGGTTTTGTGTATATAAATCCCATTTACAGAAAAAAAATGACCAAATTAAATTAATAAGATTTAAAAAAGAAAAAGGGTATCATTTGTTGTCGGAGGGAAATGGATTGATTAGATATAAAAGTACGAATTTTGCACTCAAAATTAAATGTCATCTAGCAATGATTATGACACTAACCAAATTACCCTAGACTTTAAGGCTCTAAGAAGCCTATATATTTGGACTTCCACCTTAAGTCATACATATAATATATAAAGATATTTAATAATAATTAATAGTGTATATCAAAGTTGGAAAAATTCCAAAATAAAATAAAATAAATCTAACCCTCCGCTTTGTTTCCCTACTTTTTCACTATCCTATCATATTATCCTATTCAATCTTATCCAAATACACATTTATTTTAATATTCTCAATTCTCTTTAAAATTCAATTCCATTATATTCAACTCAAAACATTAACAATTACTTTTCTCAATAAAAGTTTTAAAATTAACAAAAACACTTCCACCCACTCAAGCCACTATCACCTGCCAGCAATCGCCGCCGCCACTACCACCACCGTCTGTGATGCTATAACGACACACGACCGAGGAGATTTGACCGGTCGTGCGCCAATCTATCTTTTTTCGACTAGATCCATCAACAACGACTAGATCTGTGGTCGTAGATATGACCGTTTTCAGTCAGATCCATGGTACATCTAGCCGAAAAATGTCTGATCGGCGCACGACCGACCAGTTCCAGCTGGTCGTGCGCCATTCCGACAGATTCCGACCACCTTCTGACGATGGTGGCTGGCTGTCGGCAATATGTGAGTGCGTGAGTAGAAGTGTTTTTGTCAATTTATAAACTTTTATTGTGAGGTGGTGTTTAATTAAATTAACAAACTTAGGGAGTTGAAATAATCTAAATATTTTCATAAAATGCTATTAAAAAATATACCGAAAAATCTCATAATTTTATCCAAATTTCCAAAAATGTTATTTTCCAAAAATGCTATTCTAAAAACCTTACCAAAAGTATCCTGAAAAAGCTCTCCATTTGTGGAGAGAAGTTTTTGATGTTAAAAGCTTATTGAAAGTCTTTGATAAGGAATTTTGATAATCATATGGGAGTGTTTAACAATTTCCAAAATCATTAGAACCCTTCAGATTTATCAATCTCCCAAGATTATTGATCTTTCAATGGACAAACGAAATTGATTCTATTCTAACACATGTACTAGAAGATATACATGATTTTTATTAATAATCAAGACAAAATTAACAAGTTTGTTTTTCACGTTTGATATTTGATATTCATAAATATTTATCACTATTTTAGCATGATGTATCCCTTTGCTGTGCGGAAATTCCAAGGCAGAACCACCATTAAAACCACCACAAGACAGACCGTCAAACACCATCTTACCACCAACCCTCATGACTGTCTACTCGCTAATGCCTTGGGACGTTTTCAGGCGTCAACAATCCATAAATATGATGAAGGCGTCGTCTTGATAATAACATTTCAAAACATGAAAATTGAGCACGCAATTTTTAAGATTTGATTTAAATTTGAAAGTTTTGTTAGTTATTGATTTTTATGTAAGTATTTAAAACATTATGAACATTTTTGACACTCTTAATTACATTTCAAATTATTAAAACAATAATTAAAATTACATATATATTTTTCTTTCCAAATAACGAAAACAAAGATAAAAAAAACTTTAAAATGATAATAAAAAATGACAAGTAAATTACTGACCAAATAATGTAACAAAATTACATTGAATAATGTTAATTTAACACATTTATAAAATAATTTAATATTGAAATATTTAGCTAATCCAATCCCTTATGTTTTACGGGCATTGCATAAACAAAAATTATTATCAAAATTCAAAACTTCATCTTAATCATATTCTACCGAACCATGCATAAACTATCAAGAGAGAAATTAATTGATAAATCTTAAGCCTCTTTCCAATTTTATTTTAAATTATTAAATATCTCGTTATGAAGAGGATTTTTTTTTTATATACTTTCAGAGGAGGATTTTTTATAATCTCATAAGATTTTTTGATAATTATAAGGGAGTGTTTTAAAGTTTTGAAAAATCATTAGGACACTTAAAACTTATCGATCTCTCAAGATTATCGATCTCTTAAGTGATTGATAAAATTAATTTTAAATCATGATAAGCTTTTTTTTTTTTTGGGGGGATGAAGATACATAATTTTTATTAATTTGGAGAAAAGTAGCAAGTCTTAATATTTGATATTCACAATTATCTATTGCTATTTTAGCATGATGTTGAAGTATACAAAGACATAATATTTTCTTCAAACATTGGCCCCTAAATATACTATCTTAGCCACAGTTTTGAACCCCCATATATGAAATTACAAACTTAAGAAAGCGGAATAATGCTAAATATACAAACAAATCTTACAAAGATTTATGTGCAAACTGATGTGGCAAAAAATAAATGAAATGGTGAATATGATGAGGTTGAATTTCTTATATTTACTCTTTCACTCATTTTCTATCATATCAATTTGTACACAAATCTTTGTAAGATTTGTTTGTACACTTAATATTATTGGCAGAGATTATACATGTTGGACTTTTAATTTTATGTCTTAAACCCTAAGTCCAGATAAGGCACTTGGCAATGACTAGGGATGGGCACAGGCCGGGGTGGGTCTGGGGACCTCTATCTCCGGCCTCAGCCCGAAAGCCCAAGGGGATTCCTCGATCCCGGCCTGAAGCTCGTTCGAAAAATCCCTGAAAAAAGCCTGTTCCCCAAACGGGGAATTCCGAGATTCCTTGAATTCCTTGCTTGGGGGTTTTTTGTATTTTTGTATCCTTAGTTTTATTATCCTTTTCTCCAAATTATATATAACAATTAAAACAAAAAAATTAAATATATAATATACATATTAAACGTAAATACCATATCATCAAAAAAGAAATTAAATCTATAATGTACATATTAAATATAAAAACCATCATAATAATATACAATGTATAATGTATAATGTCAAATGTATATCATATATAATGTATAATGTATAATGTTAAATATATACCATATATAATGTCGAATGTATAACTTTTGTTTCATAGCATTATATATATATCAATGTTTTAAAACCCAACCTGGGGTGAAACCCGACAAATTTTTCGGGTCCCGAGTTGACCTGTTTAACCAGTTTGACCAGCGATAAAAAATTTTAAAACTCAACAAATACACCCCTAAAAATTACTTTCAAGTCCCTACATGTTTGAACTTTCTCAAACACAACCCAACTGAAAATCGACCGACGACTGATCGGCAGCAGCGACTCCCCAGATGCAACCCTAATCTTCCCCTGAGCCCATTTCCATTAAAATCTACCCAAGATCTGGTCGAAATAGGTTCGATTTCGGCCAGATCTCACCGACGTCGGCGTGGATATTCCAGGCCAGATCTCATCCACGCCGGCGCCTACAAACCTCCCCATCACCCAGGAATTACTCCCTTATTCCTCCCGACCAAAACCCACTTCACCCCACCCCCGTTAGCCTAGCCAATCGCCGGAAAAATCTCATTGTTGCCGCTGCCAAGTTTCTTCGATTTCTGATCGATTTACTCACCAGAAATCAACGACGCCACCACCATTGTATTCACCGGACCTTAGTCTTCAAAAGCCCTAACCCTCCGGCCGTCGATTGTTCACCGATCATCCTCCCAAATCTTAGGGTTTGGGGGTGAATCAAAAAAGTTAAACCCGACCCGTTGAAGCTGTCGGGTCCCGGTTCAACCGGCTGGGCCGGGCCGAGTTTTAAAACAATGATATATATATATATATATATTACAAATATTTATAATGATTTATTATATTTAATCTAGTTTTATTTATTACCTATTTGTATATAGTTTCATAAAATACTTACACAATTATAATTTGTCATTGTATAATGTATAATTTATTTTCAATTATTAAAATTATTATAGGTATATATGATTTATTTTCAATTATTAAAATTAATATTGATATATATATATAATATACGGGCCGAGGCAAAACCTATCCCGGCCCGTCCCCGAATTTCAGGGCTAATCTTGGGTCTGATCCCAACCCAAAGCCCAAATAATTCGGGAAAAATCTACCTCGTTCGGGGCGGGGCGGGGCTTTGTGCCCATCCCTAGCAATGACTGCTTAATTCACCTGCTAGAGTTATATAACTACTACAGTTCTTAGGATATAAATGTCAATAATTTTTTAATAAGTTTTTTTCTTTTTCTATCTTTACAATCTGGCATAAGCAAAAATATATTTTAAAATGGGGAATAAAAAAAAAAAGGGGGGGGCTAAAAGTCACTTTCTCTTTTTATAACATAAAAGCCCAAGTTCGACAATTGAAACCCCATCGACCCTGTAAGTGTCTATGAGAGAACTCAAACCCTAAGCTTTATGGAAACAAACTACAAACCTGACCCTCCAAGGATATCATCCCTACTTATTTTGAGTCAGTCCCATCATTGCTTACTTTTTGGAGCCTAACGAAGGCATAAATGTCAAGAAGAAAGCAATTAGTGTAAAAAGAAAAGGGGCAAATTTTGGTCTATACACACAAGCTTTGGCTGCCAAGAAAATACATGGTAGTTTCTTCCTCAAGAAAACACAGAATAAACGAAAATTAATGAAAGCCAGAACAACCACAACAAATGTGAACAAGAAAACTAAGCTTCTCCAATCATTTAAATTCATTTCAGAAAATGTTAGTTACAATGAGAACAGATGCTAGAATAACACTTACTAAGAGTGCTGATTATATCAAAAACAATAAACAGAAATACATACTCACTTCACACAAGTTCTATCATCAGTCTCGACGAACATACAAAGACTAATACACATATTAAACATCAAATCTAGAACACAAGAAAATCTAGACAAAGAAGAAAAAACTTTTGAAAAGACCAAAGAACAAGCATCTTTGTCAGGATTATCATTCAGATTTTCATGCACTGCCCATAAATTACATTGTGTCTTCACTCTCTTGGGCGGGCAAGCCAGAGGGAACTAAGAGCACGAAGTCGAGAGAAATAATCATGTATTGCCAGTAGGGCACGAGCTGACTGGCGCGTTGTTAATATTCGATGCATTTGTTGTAATGTTTGCTGCCGTAAATTGTCAGCCTGGTATTACAATCCCACAAAAAGTATTACAGCACGGTATTTACTACAAAGAAGCACAACGAGTAATGCCTAAAGACCACCCAAAAACAAAAGAAAAGCACCATCTGTAACAATAATATACTTCTACTGTTTCAAAATGTCAGTAATTTCAGAGTCCATATCATGTAATGAATACAAAATTGAATTAGGAACTTCAATTTAGAATTTAAAAAAAAATATATTCACGGTTCTCAAGCAATCTTCCTAAGGTATGAAGTTTTATAAAATGGGCAGAGAAAATAATAGAAAATTACCTGACGAATGAACCCCTCCAAAGTCCCTAGCTTTCCCATGGCCATGGCCATTTGCCCCATGTAGTTTGCCACATTCCCAGATGAACCTGAGGAACCAAGAGATCCACTGGAAAGTGTCTCAGCGAGGGACTGTTGCAATGCCTCCATCCCTTGAGACAATGCATCCTCTGCCTGCTGGGAGGATTGCTGCAAGTTCCCAATGCCGACAAGCTGCTGCTCTGTTAAAGGCTCCAATTGATTCACAAGAAGCTGCCAACATGTACGTTTACTAGAAGGACAAAAAGCTTGAAAGACAGTAAATACATTTAAATGCTAAGTCTATAATCAGAACATATCAACCCACCAAAACTACAAGCAGAATAAAATTACATATATTTGACAATAAAAATGCACAAGCGCCCAACTCCATTCTATTTCATTACCAAACTCAAAAGTGTGGGTTGTGTGGATATACATAGATTATCATCACTAAACTATTCCACAGTAAACATATAGCATGGAGGATTCTATTCCACATACATTTATCATTGATCAGACCCTTTCTATGCTTATAAACAAGGCACTGTCTTTCAGACTCCCCCTCTCACTCACATGCATGAAGGCAAAAGTGCCCAACTCCATTCTACACCTATTCTCACTCACATTCCATTGTTACTTACACATTTGAGAAACTGAGTCTTCTCCATAATTAAAATCCATTAACTTCAAAAGAAAAAAAAACCTCCAACCTGAACTACATGATTTAATAATTGATGGGATCATGATGTGGCTTATGACAGACGCCTATGACCCAACCCAACAAAAGATTGCTGATTAGTTGTTACAATAAACTTGAACATAATAAAAGGTACTGCATCACATTGATTACATCAGTGGAATACCAATAAAATAAGAGGGTAAGGAAAGAAAAAATTACCATTGCCAGTTTGGATGAGATTACAATTTTAATTCATTAGCAATTTCTTCCTTTTAAATCAAAATTTTCAGAATAATCTAGACAACAGACAATATTTTAAGATCACAATGACCTCACCTTGAGAAGCTCAGACGAACGGAAACCACCGAGCCACAAGAAACACCTCTCAGCGGGTGTTTTCCACATGCCCGATAACAAATGGAAAACATCAGCTTTGGCAGCATTGGACTTCAGCCTAAAAATTTCATCATAGTGAGCCATTATACCATCAACGATAATACGTAGTTCCGTGTCACTTGCATGAGAATTAACTGCTGATCTAAGCTCATTGATTTGTTTGTTATGCTCTTCAAGCCATCGTGCATATTCTACATCAAATGCCATGGCCCCTGAAAGGTACAATGAGCAAGACAGTTGATGTATGAGATGAAATTCATTCAAATAATATAGCTGATTGAAAAATTATTTCCTCAAAATTTCTCTCTTTCATAATGAGAACTCTTTTCTTTTCGTATTTTGGTATAAGAAGAAACCTAAAATTCTCTTGGGCACAAGCATACATAAAACAGCATATAATCTTGTACAACCACCCTATAAGGGTGTATATCCTGGATCCCATCAGCAAAAGCATACCAATGAAGAGAACATGGACACATAGAAGGTAAATTGGAGGCCAAAAATAGTCAATGAATTTGAAGAGAACCCAATTTAGTTCAAATATTAAACTCGTAGAACATGAATCATACTGCACAGACTGGAGAAATGTACTATCTGTAGCATTTTTAAAATGTCAAATCTATTTATGTTTGGTCTCTTCTAATTATCAGAATTAGAGAAGTTTGGAATAGTATATTATGAGGAGACATTCGCTGCTTCAGATAGAAGAAAGAAGGTATACCATTTCCACTCATCGAATGAGCTTGATCTCCTGAGCTTGATATGAAGATTCCCTAAATAAGAGACACAAAAGGAGAGAAGTTAATAATATGAGCCTGCAACCCATAAATAGGATGATCTTAGTACATATTAAATTGCAAAACAAAATGCATTAAGCAGCAAGCTAATGAAGAAAGCCAAATGCAACCTGCTGCCGTGCTCGTTGAAGCTCCTGCTCAAGTTGGGTCAGCTTCAAACGGCTACTTTCCAACTGTTGGACATATGCCTACAGGCAAAACAAACCGAGTCAATGAAGAGAACATAAAAAGTCAGTTATGCGCAATAAGACATGCTTCATGGCCAAGCAGCAAGTGAATGTAATCATTTGCAGCATAAAGTACAAAAGTAACACATGCATACTAAAAATGACTCATTAGTGAATATGCATGTGAATGTTCTTGAAAAAGGTGGTAGAATTACCAAACATTTGTTAGAAGGAAGCAAAGAAATACGAGACCCAGGAAATTTTTTTTCAAACCTCTCATAACAACAGAATAATTAGTAGAAACAGCCAGCAAGAAATTCATTAAATGTTTCCGCATTGAAGCCTTATTTACATGGCCATCAGGCGATCAGCGTGTTCACCCAGAAACAGAAATTACACGCAAAATAAGATCAGTAAGCTTCACGATCACAGAGAAAAGAACCATAAAGCCACCTAGGTAAGAACCATACATCTCCTTCCAACAAGTGTAAAGAGTTACTTGTGTAATCTAAAGAAAACAACAAATACAACCAACACCAAGTCATTCTCTCAATGGGGGCCTGGCCAATACTGTCATTAAATATGTCCTCCAAAGTTTACCAATCAAACTAATTCTACAAAGTACATAAAACATGCTGAACCTCACCTTGTTAGATCCTAAAATGCCAACTACTGATCATATTGCTCTCACAAGTTATCTTATTGAAAAGTTTAATATTTAAGAAAGATGAGGGATAATTTTATAATTAAAAATATTCCACAAAAGCACAATACATACTTTCTTCCTCAATCGGCTTTTTCTTGCAGCCTCACGATTTTGAGCAAGCCTACGAAGAGTCTGCATAGAAGAATCAGCCAAAAGACCATGATCAAACAGTACCTTAAAAAGTTCACATATAATCTACACAAGCTAGATAATCATATCACCTTCTGATCCATTTTGTCTTTTGATCTGTCACTAGAATCAGAGGCCACGAGAGCTGTAGATAGACCTCTATCAAACTGCAGAAGTAGCAAGCTGATATGTAAGATGGACAGTAATATCATTTAACATCAACATTTCTAAGGAGTAAGAAAAAAATGTCCCTGTTTGAATGAAAAGGATGGAGTCTTAAATCACAAACTTAAGAGTTGTGCACAACAATAATTGTAAATGGCATGGTTAAGCAAAACTTACGAAACACTGATTTAAGAAATAGCATGTCAATGATAGCTAAAAAGGCACATTACCATTTGATTTTTTTCATCTGTGTCTGCATCAGTCGAGATATCAGTCCTGGGACTAGCATCAGCCATATTAGATTCTCCCCAGTTTTCTGTATTACCACTAGAAATAGAAACCAGATTCAATTGTTGACCCTTTTCCAACAGCAGCCTCTGGTTCTCCACTTGGATGGTAGACGGATTTATGTTAAATGAAGTTGGTGTCTATGTTGATTCCAAAAAAATTAAAAAAGGATATATAGAAGCAGTTAGTGCAAGACAGCCATAGATCAAATGAACTTCAAGCATAAAAGTCCATTGATAAAAAGAAAACATGGAATTCACCTTATCAAAAGTGCCAATTTGGAGGGGATTGGAAACAACTGCTTGGTCGCCTGCTTTGGTTGAATTAATCACAGTGTCTACATGACACATCATATAAATTTTTCTCAGAAATAGAGACAAAGAAATTAGCTTTATCATACAAATATTTCTCAAAAATGAAACTGAATTCTTATTTGGTAAATTCCTATCCAATAATCCCAATACTTAATGGTCAGCAAAAATATTCAGATAAAATGTGTGACCTCACAAAAGCACCAGCTAGATTTCAAAGGATGCCTAATATTATAATCTCTCAAACAAAATAATACAAGATGCAAAATCTTGCTTGCTCTAGAACTGATCTCTAAAACTTGACGGATACTTACTTCCACTTAGGTTGACAGCATCCTCTAAGGGAAATCCGGCAGAATGCTCAAATGCCCCAAAATCACAAACACGATAAGTCTGGATTGTGCTACCCTCTGTACAACTGAAAGCCACACTTCATCAAAAATTTAAGCTATTGCAGTAAAAACAATTTGGCATAGTGTACTCTTTTAAGGCACATATAGCCTTGAAATTAAACCAAATTTCTACTCAACACAAGGAATCATAAAAAAAATATAATACCGTGATAATCAAAATAAGAAAAAGTAGCAAAAGAAAAACATCACACCCATGGAATTTTGATATGAGATTTATGTGAATGTAACAATTGAATGTGTTACCAGAAGCAACAAATTAAGTCCAATATCAGCACCTTAGTGTATTTGCTGAGATTTTTAATGGAATTTCAATCATGGTATAAGATGTAGAAGAACAAGTTTGAAAAACTAAAGACAAACAATCAATTCAATCTGATTATCTATTCACACCGTTAAAAGTGTTGGCACAGAAACCTAACACACTAGAGTTTGTGAAAGTTATAATTATACTTTCCAATGCAGAAAAGATTTATATAGTATCATTTTGCAACACAAATGCACATTGCATATTAAATATATAGAAGTCTAAAACGAATGCCAGTCACTATATATGTTTCTGGAATATGGAAAACTTCATTCAAATGCTTCAAGATATTTATTGTGATATTTTACATTGCTAAAATGTATCCAGATAATCCCCAAGATTGTCAATAAAATTCCAATATTTTACCTATAAACACTGAATTGCACATGAGCACCAGCCAGAATTCAATGTAAGTTGGTCAGTCAGATGAGAGCTACATGATTTCTGGAAACTAGATATATTTAACATCACATAAAGTATTCATCAAAATAGACAGACCCTTGCAGTTTGGGCAAGATAACAACAGTATACTCTAGCCAAACCACATAAATGACTGTTTCACTATTGAATGCATATAGTATTATAAAATAAAATTTGAAATCAAACTGCTCTCAGCCTAGGCAAATTAAGAGCAAGCCTTAAACTCCATGATTAAAACTTTCAAATGTCTTTCCTTTTTTGTTTTACAAAATGTTCATGATTCAATATTCACAAATAAATAAAATTCCCGATCATCATAGCATACTAGTAAACAAGTATGTCTATTTAATTGCAACAAAAATCTTTTATCTGAGCTTTAGCATGAAATAAATAACCCTATGATTAAAGAGAAAAGACCATCAACTATTTGTGAGGAAAAAGAAAATTGTTTTTGTATCCATTTGGGGCCCCTATCTCAAAGAATTTCTAAGACAAATCATTTTTCTTTATTCATCTAAATTGGGAAAGGGTTTTGGGTTAAATTTGTGTGTTTTACATTCAGTTTTTGTCGCAGGAGCAGGAATAATATAAGCTATTTTTGTTTTCAGTACACATATAGTTAGAGATCCTCTCCAATTGTTTCAGTACAGTTACAAATATATCTACCTGGGATGATGCTGTTTCTCTTGCGGAAACCTTCCACACTCTTAATCTTCTTTTCTTTTGTCTCATCTCTATTAATATACTTATTCTCAGTTTTCTATCACAGAAGTTAATTTTTTAAGCTACATTATAACATACTGCAACAGAAAATACAATCGCAGAAGCAAAAGATACCACAAAACACAAACTTCGAAGGAGAAAACAGAAAAACATAATATGCACAAAAAAATGAAATGGGGAGAGACTGAGGAAAGTTTACAGTGTGTTGGAAATGGGCAACTGAGAGTCAAAGCTCGGCATTCCGTTTGCTGCTTCTTTCTCATCTTCAGCTCCAGGCCTCACTGTCCTACTCCCCATGCATCACCATCGCCATCACCTCCTTATTCTCCCTCAAACAAATTAGAATTCCCAACCCTTACCCTAAGAAAACCAAAAATGCAAACTAAAGATCCAACGTTCTTAGGAAATTCCTTTCCACTGGCTAAAACAACAAGAGAGAAGTAAAGAGAAAGGTAGAAAATATCAATGATCTCATGTATAAGAACAATACTACTCTAAAACAACCATAAGATATAGTCCACCAAGAGCAGCAAGCTCCCAACAGTCCATCATCCAGAAGAAGAAAACAGTAGTCAGAGGCACAATGAGGAAGTACTGATAAAGTTATCCTAATTGCAGGAAATACTACGAATTGAACCGCAAATGTTGATTAACAGAATATCACTTATTTCCAGTGTCTCCAAGCGATACCCAGAAGCAGAAACCTAGAAAAAGATAAATAAAAAATCAAAATTGCAGAAGCATATAGAATCAAATACCTTATTTTGATTCATATTCTGCCTTAAAAGAACTCAGAGGTTTCAAGACTCAACAACTACTTGGTTCATGGATCACTTAATTACAAGAACAAGCCAACTGGTCCTCACCTCAAATTTGCCAGGAAAACAGGACAACCAAAAAAAAAAAGAAACCATAGTCAAATACGTTTTGACTATTTGTATCATAAGATCAACTAATCAACAGCACCCAGAAGCCCAAGTTAGAAAGATGACAGAATCTTTCAAGAGACTCACCTAGTTTGCATTAGCTCCACACGTAATAAATTCAAAGTCAAAATTTTAAAATATCATTGACTTCAACTATGTTCTGGCTGAAAGTAAAGCCCAAATTTTGTCATAAATCTAAATCTCTTCTGCAGGAAAAATCTGAGATATTCCAAAGGAGGTTTCTGACAGATTTCAGGAAAGATCTCTCAAAAGATTGAAAATTTAAAGAGGTTTTTAACTGAGTAAGAAATCACCGTGGTTCATTTATGTTTAATAAGAAGAAAATAGAACTTAAGCCAGGGAATTTTCTCAGATAGATGCTGATGGGGAAGCTTCGAAGGATTAAACTTGACGTGTAGTAAACAAATTATTACTAAAGTTATACAGAGGCCCAATTCAAAGAAAATAGAACTTATCCTACAGTATGGGAACTTTCTAAGATAGAACTCGATTTAACTAGAAGCCATAACTTACAATTAAAATCATCAAAACCATTGGTAGGGCAAGTTTAAAAAAAGTCATCCATTCTAAGATGTGTAGTACACATCTGCAGTAATCCAGAAACACCCAATGGACAAAATATAAGAGAAGGGCAATTAGAGAAGCCTTACTATAGAACTGACACATTCCAAGACTTGTATAGACGATTTGACACCAGCCAACAAATACCTAAAGTCAAACTCATTATAGCAGTCACAATAACCTTAGATACCTACTTAACCTATTATAAAACTCTCATCTATACCCAGAAGCAAAATAAAGGAAAAAATCTATAGAAACCCAGAACACTTAAGCTTTAAAAGATGAACATACTTAAAACTGCACGAAAGATTTGAACCAACCTCAAAGTATCCAGAGGACAAAATCTACCAATAAAACACAAGAGAACCTCACTATCTAAACCTACGATAACATTCATTTCGTAAATTTGCAAAAAACAAAAATCCCTACTCAGATTTAACAGCAATCCTATATGATCCATTTGCCAGAATCAACCATGGAACATATTATGAACCCTCTTACAGAAGCTAGTAAATATCAACCACACCTATCCATCCTAACATACAACATTAATTTAATCTAACCCAACAAAACCCAGAAGCCAAAATCCTCAATTAAAATAGTCTCTAAACATAAGCTATTGTTAAAATGTTTGCACAAGTTTAAGAACAACCCAATACTACCAAGGAGCCAGAATCAGCAATAAATCACTTAAACAATAAATACCCTAGACACATAGCTTCTAAACATCAAAGTAACCTATAATGAAAAGGGCAAAAATTTGACCCCAACTAAAAACCAAAAGCAAATAACACAAGACCACTCATTTCACAAACTTTAAAATTAGAATCTAATTTCCCTACTGTGACGCTACATACAACAGCTTTAACTATCAAACTCTTGAATCCTAACATGTAGCACACAAATTTGCACCAACCCTATAATATCCAGACACTATAATCAAACTAAACAACATACAAAACCCTTAGTCAGAGCAACCTTCAAAGATCAAAATCACATATCCTAACAAACAGAAACAAAATTTCACCACAACGAACAATAACCAGAAGCCAATATCAAAGACCCACTTGAACTAAAACACAGTAAATAAATTTGAGCACCAATCAAGCAATACCCAGATGCCAAAATCACCCAAAAACACACAAAAAACAAAAAAAAAATCCAAGCTCACTACAATAAAATTCACTACTTTAAGTTTAAACTCGAACTAAACCCTAAACACTACTCACTTCATCATTTAGCATATGATTAAGTAGAATCACAGCACAGGCACAGCAAAAACACAAGTTTGAACTAAACCCACCTTGGATTTTGGTTCTGGTTGAAGATGATGATGATATTGATGGTGATGGTGATGATGATGATGATGAAATTGATGATGAAAAAATTGTTACTTTACTTATTGTTTTTGTAAAATGGATTAGAGAGAGAGTGACAAGATATTGATCATTCCAATCTCTAGACGTCTTCTTCTGTGTAGAAATCTTCCACTTTCCAAGGACTAATCATTTTTTATTAAACGTTTTTTTAAGTGCTTTGACATGAATTGTTTTGTTTTTTCTGTTTAGTTTTTTTAAAATTGTTTTCTGGGATAAATACTAAAACCCCCCTGTATTTATTGAAATACAAACCCTTTTGTAGTTTCCAAATTTATAAAATTACTTTTATTTAGACTTAAATGGACCATGTTAATATATATTCAAATAAATATAGTTGAGCTTGTAAAGAACAATCTTGTATTAAAATCTCAAACAACATACACTTGAAAACATATTGGAATAATTAGGTTTAAAGCACACAAATTATAAGTAAAACATAACTATAGGTAGAAAGAACAAAAAGAGATTCCCAAGCTTATGATTCAGGGTCCCCCCAAACCCTAATAAGAGTGGCCACTAATAACACATTTGCGCACAATTGGCCCGAACAACTTTGATGATAAAAGAAAAATTACAAGTAAAACATCAAAATTCTCATTAATAAATTTACTAAAACATCATTATTAGCTTCGTTTGTTACGCTATTAGGAATATTATTCCCAATAAAGTTAAATAGTAAAATGTCATTATTCTCAAAATATTATTCTATATTTTTTAATCTCTTTTAAACCCCCCCTAAATTTGTTAATTTAACTAAACACCTCCAAATATTTTTTTTACAAATTGCAAAAACACTACGGCCACCCTCCGGCGGTGGTGGCCTGCTGTCCGTATTTAATGGGTGGGTTGGGGTGTTTTTGTTAACTTTTAATATCTTAGTATAAAGGTGTTTAGTAAATAAACAAACATAGGGGGTATTTTATTAATTTTCAAATCCTACATCGTAATACCCGCTCAATTTAACTTTTTTCAAAATATTATTATAAAAACTATCAGAATAATAAACCAAACGGAGTCTTAATGTATCAAAAAAGTGAAACGGTTTTTAAAATTCAAGTACAAATGTCGTCCTTCATCAAACATTCCAATACCTTGAACCCATTTATGACTAGTCTCGAGTCTGGACAATCATTATTATTAGGGGTGTTCGGTTTCAGATACCCTACATTTTTTTAAGGAACCAAAACCGGAACCAACGGTTCCTTAAAATTTGGAACCGAAATCAGAACCGACGATTCCAGTTCCTAGGTACCTAGAATCGGAACCTGTAACAACGATTCCAGTTCTGATTCTGGGTACCCTATAAAATTTCGATGACCCCCAAAGTTCTTAAAATGGCAAAAAAACCCTTAAAAACTTACAAATACCCCCCATCTGGAACTTAACAAAAATAAAATTACGAATTATAAATTTAAAATTACAAACTCCGTTACTTTGTAAAGATAGATTCTCAAAAGTCAAACCAACTTACTTTAAATATTATGAAATATAACTATAAATGTATTCACATTACTTTTTCTACAAAAAGTTTTTATTAACCCCCTACTCTTTAATTTTATTTTATATTAGTCTCGGTTTCCGGTTCTGGTTCCGGTTTCCAACTATAAGAACCGGAACCAAAACCTATCCGTTGATGGCTGATTCTGGGTAGAAACCGAAGCCTAACCCCAGGTATCAGCCGGTTCCAGTTCCAATCGGTTCTTTTGAACACCTCTAATTATTATCCCTTGGCTTCTATTGTGTTTTATAGTTTATAGGGGAAGGTTTTATAATTTCAAAACCTGTGTGGGGGTTTAATACTTTTTGGCTAATTATAGGAGTTTTGTGAAAATTTATCCCTTGGTTTCTTATTTTAATATTTCATCGCTGTTAAATGTGTCAGAAATAGTGACAGTAACGATACAGCCAATCTTGCTCACTGACAGTAATTAGTGAGCTGTAATCCTATGCAGTCAGAAGCACCTACGGTAAGTACCCGTACTTGTTAAGATTTTGCCACGTATACGTGATTCTGACAACACGGTTCTCATGTCCGAAAAAGGTAAAAGTATGGACGGCGACATTTCTACCTTTCTGTTTTTACCAGTATTCTACATTTCTACTTTTCAGATTTTACCGTGCTTCAATTTTTAAGTCAAACCAAAATTTACAAGTCAAATTAATTAATTCAACTACCTCAATTCTCCTTAAACCGCTACCAAAATTTTGAAATTTAAATTTTGTTTTTTTGAACTTTTTTTTAAAATTCCTTCAGTGCCCTTTTTCTTTGTCTCACTAGGGAATCATTTTTATAGAGAAAAGTTTAAATTGGATGCGTCTGATTCGGTAAATATTATATTAATGAAAAGATAGATTACCTTAAATATTATTAAAAATATTTAGAAAAATATGTTTAATTAAGTTAGAATAAATTGGTGAATATATTATATTTATATGTTTAGTTGGGAAGATAAATTAATGAATATTTTATATTAATTACTAAATTACCTTTTTTTTTTAATATTAACATAATATTATTTTTTTAATAATTTTTTTAACTTCCTTACCTTTGAAATTTTGCTAAAACACCTCAGTCATATAAAAGTTTAATTTATAAAAAAATCACCCCCATCTATCCCAAGCCACTGTTGACCACCACTATCGATTGCTGTTGGCAGTCTCTAAAACAATGCACAATTAGTCGAATCGGCTGATCGTGCTCCAATCTAGTCGTTTATGGTAAGATCAATGGCCGGAAACGATTAGATGGTCGTGGATCTAGCCAAAAACGATTCTAGCCATTTTTTGCCAAATTCGACCGATCCTGCATCGTTTCAATGACTGTCAATGTTGGTTGGCCAATTGCTGGCGGTGGTGGCTGGGGGGGCGGTAGTAGTATTGGGTGCCCTTAATTTGTTTTAAATATAAGAGCATTATTATCCAAAGACTTAATTAATTATGGGTAAAATTGTAATGGCAGGTTCATGTAAATTAATTTCAAAATGAGGACATTTTTGTCCAAAATTTTTATTAACGTTACCAAGTAATTTTAAAATGCTTAAAAAAATAGAAGTAATCAGATTACCACCTATATAATCAACAGTAATTACTATTAGTTTTGAAACATTACCATAATTTTATATTACTTGATAACAAAACATAATAATCTAAGTAATATAAGATGACATTACCTTAATAATGGGGGATAAACCTAACCAAACAGCCCTAAAAGATATTATTTAAAGTGGTAAGCACTTTTAAAGCTTTTTTAGATAATTTGATAAGATTTCAAAAATATTTATAGGATTTAAAATAAGCTATTTTTTAGTTCAATTAAAGTGTTGAAAACTCAATAATATTATTATTCATTTTATATATTTGACTTGATTTATTTAGTATATTGAAGCTCTTTTTTTGGTAAATTAACACTGGAAATTTCTTTTACATTTTCTTAATTAAACAACTAATAACTTTTCCATAAAAACTATATTTTCATAAGCTCTTCTTTTATATCTTCTACTCGAATAAGATATACCAAACGGACCCTTAATTATACAATTACAAACTATTTATAATTAATTTGAAGTTATGTAATTATGTTATAATAAATCAGTTTATACAATAAGTTTGTGTCAAAAGTTTGTACCTTTTTCTTAAGACAATATTAAATTATTAAGATTCAAAATTTGATTTTCAGATGTCCAAATATAAGTTGTCATTTTCATATCCCAGCTGGTATTTATATATTTGAGTTGTTTATAAATAATAGAAACTATATATATAATTTAAAAATCAAACTTGATAAGGAATTTTAAGATTCTCAAAGAATAATCTCAATGGATTTATTCCAAAGGATCTCTTATTTTTATTAGGAGATATTCTCATAAAGTATCCGTAGGCTTGATTAAGAAAAATATTTTAGGCCATGTTTGGTATATCGCATTGTATAATATAGTATTGTATAGTATGTATTGCATTAGATAATACTATATAATGCTAAACAAAATATAGTAGGAAGTTTAGTGCATCATCGTACTGTATTAATTTATCTTGTATTTTTCAATTAAATTTGTAACAGATATTTATTGAATCTAATCATCTATTTAAAAAATTAATTTAATCAAAAGAAATAAATTAAATTACTTTTCTCAAAATACTGATATCGTTATATGAAATGATAAATTAAAGTTGTTACTTGTTAGGACCTTTAATCTTAACCGGAAATTTTACAAAAGAAAGATTTTCTTATATTGGTATGAGTTCATCCCATAAAAAGAATGTTAAATTAATATTATAAAGCCACCTCTGTATAGTCATAACGGTGAAACAAACTAATTTTATTATTATGAGGAGGTTATAACTTAATAAAGATATAGTTACAAAAATTTCTTATTTCATAATTTATGTTTTAGTAATACAATATTAAGATTTCAATTCATGTTTTAATAGTATTAAGGTTTTAATTCAGCATTTTAATTGTTTGCTTTTGAAACGGATAGAAGATCATGTCCTGGAACTAGCAAAGATAAGTATCTTTGATGGAATTGTAAATATAGTTGTTGTATAGTCAATTGATGCGAAGCCACAGACAATTGGCAATTGTTTTAAGCATTGCAAAATTAGGAACCCTGGTGTCGATTAATTACAAGTTATAAATGAAGTGAATGAGAAAAATCAAAGAATCATTGTAGAATTAATTGATCAGATTCAGCAACTTCACTACACTAATTGAATGGATATTAATGTCTTCATCAATCATCCAAATAAGCAACAAGTCATGTATGTTTTAACTGCAGAATAAATCATTACTACAATTAGACAAGAAGAGAAAGGAAATAATCATAAGGATGATAATACGGAAATATAAAAAGTTTTGTGCCAAGGTGCTCTAAATATGCTTGAGAAGCTAAAAATATTTTGGCTTTAACAAGAAGATATTCATGCTAGCGAGTAATATACTCGCAAGTTAAAATTGTGGTAACAACTCTAAAGTATAAATCATTGTCCAAAACAACTTTTGATAAATATTTTATTTTATCTTAAACCTTTAATGTAACATAGCATGTATTTTTTATTTATTATTATTTTTTTTTTGCAATATACAGATAATTATTACTATGGAGGCAATTTTCTTTAAGACCGGAATTAG